ACAGGAATCGATCGAGTAACTAAGGCTCTACAAAATGGTGAAAACCGCACCTCGCTAGCTACTTCTGTTCTCAAGTTATTCGAAAAATGGCCGAGACCACTTTTTTTTTTAACAGACAATACAAATGATAAATCAATCTTTTTCAAAATTCTTTAGTCATGCAGTAAACAAAAGTGTGCTGTCTTTAATTACAGAAATAGATTGCTCGTTTATATATCTGAAAAACTGGAAAATATAGTATAACCACGTAAAAATATTAACTTTATCGAGTTGAAATGCGACGAAAGTATTTGAATTTTTTATTGTGCAGTGATTTTGTAAAAATTTGTATTCTGAACGATTTTATACATACGTATATTTAGATGAAAATGCTTTAACTGGTATCTATACGAATCAGATTTCTGAACTAATTATTACTATAAGTAATAATAAAAATCAAAGATTAATGGAAGATATATTAAGAAGTGTGTATATACATATATTTACTGTTTTCACCAAGTTACATTATTTTAATTTTGATTCATCTACAAGTTTCTCGACTTATTATTTATCATTTACTGAAAACCCTCCAACTTTTTTCTCTTCAATTCTAACAGAACTACATGTTAATGTGAAAAAAATCGATGATTGTCTTTATCTACTTGATGGTTGTTTCAATCAACTTCGTACGTTCTATGTTAATATTAACATAGTTTTTCGTTCATATGCAATAATCAATAATAAAGTAAATTAATTTCTAAACATATGAAAATTATCATCGAAATAATTATTTCATTTGTTGAATAAGTCATTGAAATATTTTCTTATAATACTTCAATTTTTTTTTGTTTTGTTTCTTTTTTAGGAGAAACTTCCTAATTTACAATCTTTTTCTTTAAAATGTGATTGTGAAACATTTCTTTATGATGAGTTAATTCTACCGCTTCTACATCGAATGTTACATTTGGAAGAACCCGCTTTATATCTTGTTCTCAGAATGCAAATATTGCTTGATGGAAATAATTTTAAAAAGAATATTATCAATCATTTATCGCGATTAAAAAAAGTTTTAATATTCGGTCAGTTATATATCTTGACAATCAACATTGTTTACCATCAAATGAAGAAATTCAGGACACATTTATAAATTTCATAGATAATAAAGTCATTTGTTGTGTTGATTATTTTCGTGAAAATGGACTCTGTCAATGCCATATTTATTCATATCCATATTCGCTGACACATTATCGAAGTATCGCAAACAGTTTTCCAGGTGGATTTTTTAAATGTGTTCGTCAAGTATCGTTATCTGATGAATGTCCTTTTGAACATGAATTTTTTCTTCGAATTGCACAATCATTTCCATGTCTTAAAACCTTATCTGTAGCTGATTGGAAAGCTCAAAAACATAAACATTGTCGAACAAGAAATGGCAATGATAAACGTCAATCAATCATTGAATATCCTCATCTTGCCAATCTTGATCTTCTCTGTGTTCATGTTGATTATGTCACACAATTTCTCGACAACAAAAAAACATCTATACCAAATAATCTCTCTGTTTGTGTCGATTATCGTTCTCTACGAAAGGCCACACACAATTTCACACGAGACACATCGTGAATCAATTGTTCAAATTTGAATAAATTGCGCATTTTTGGTAAAATCAAAATCTCTGAACATATAAAAAGGCTTATTTTCCTAATGGAAAAGGACAATGATTTTTGTATCACTGTTGAAATAAAACAGATAAAAATCGATTTTGATATACTTTTAATTAAGACATTTTCGATAGTAAAAAGAAAAATACGTATGTCATTTGAACGGTTTGCAGGGTCGGAGTTGGGGCTAGATCGCTCTAAAAATTCGAGAAAAATGTTCTTGAAACTTCAATTGTCTTCGATTTCGAAGAAAATTCTCCATTATGGGGTGTGGGTGTGGGTGGGGTGTGGGGTGTGTGGGTGCGAAGTGCGGATTATGGGTGCGGGTGTGTGGTGTTGTGTTCTCTACACCCACACGTCCACACCCACACCCCACACCCACCCACATCCACACACCCTCGTTAACGAAAAAAAATACTTGAAGCAGTTTAGAAAATTACATCCGTTCACCATTACTAAGCGATGTACAGTTGACTGGTTATTAAATGGATTGACTTTGTTAGGTACTCTTTTTAGGTTTTTTCCAACTTTACCTGTACGAATAAAACTACATGTGATTAATAATGGGGTGTTAATCAAAAGTGACAGTAATTATAAGCAATTGCTTCTCTTGGTAGTCTACCTTTAGAGAGGAAACAACCAACGACGTAATCATTCATTCATTTCACAGGTAATAAGCAATACATTCAAACGACTAATAAATTATACTGCATCGAGTAAACACGACGAAATAGTATCAGTTCCCATTTCCTACTAAGCAACAAGCACAGACTATTTTATTTTTCAACATACTTTTTCAAACCATTTCAAAAATTTCAATTGTTTAGATTCTAGAATTACCACAACTAGAAATAATGGTAAGTTAGTCATTGTGAACGGAATTCCAGAAAATAATGACGCTTGTCTTTCTTCCGTGCTTTTATAATAAATTCATAATATTCAGAACTTCATTCTTATTTATTTAATAAGAATTTTCGCTTAATAGCTCGAATTTCCTTGTTGTGATGAGAAATAACTAACTATAACGAACAGCATCGTTTTATTCAGTTCAATTACCAAATTTTTGATTCGATGTTTTGTTCTTTCGCAAAAGCATCGTCAGTAATAGTAATTTCATCTTGCAACTAAACTATAACAGAGCAGCAACCAATAGCGAATTCTTTTAATTAGCAACGGCTTTTCATTAACAACATTGTAAGTACTAGTATCTGGTCGTAATAACAAAGTTTCGTTTATCGGATAGTAACTCATTTCCTATTGCGACTTCTACTAGTCATATGTGCAGATTTTTATTAATCAATTATTGCTTGTCTATTTCTATAGTGACTTCAAACTCAGTGACAAGATCGAAAACGTCAGGTTGAGAAGTCAAGCCTTTGAATGACAAATCCTTTTTCTATTCTGTATGGAGTTGGAGAATAATTCCAATTCTCTCTTATTTTCTATCCTAGAATGCAAAGGAAATATTTTCGTTATCAAGGATAGAAGTTCACAAGTCCTTCTTCCTGTCAAGAATTTGCTTATAAATATTACAGAGGAACCACTTATTTATTCTTTCAGCACGATCTATCTATGAAAATAGTGATTGTCAAGCCACCCTAGTTTTCTCTGCTTGGCATGCTGTACCAGAAAAGCTCTTTTTTCCATTTCGATGGCTACACTTCGAACAGCTCAAAGTTTCTATGTACAGGGTGAGAATATATGTAAATCCAATATTTCGTAGACGTTCTATAATGGTGATGAAATATGAAAAATTGGATGTAAAGTATTGTTTCTCTGTACATGAAGAAAAGAAAGTGACACCACTTAGTTGATAGTCTAAAAAGCATGTAAGATGCTTCGAATATTGATTTATGTCTTCTACACATAAGCATGCCTGGACATTCTACTCTTTTGAGGCAACCAAATACTAAATATGCTTCCGTTCTAGACACCCTAGTTTTTTTTTGTGTACTCAAAAAGTGACTACACTCTAGAATCGGTCAGTGTGTCCGGCCGGCCGTCCGTTTACACGATAACTTTTGAAAGGAGAGTCAGATCGCGATGAAATTTTCTACACCGTTCAGTCTTAACAAGATCTCGGTCGAGTTCGAAGATAAGAAGGATTGGCCGAGCCCTTCCTGAGTTATTGCAACAATACTCATTTTTCCCTATACCTT